ACCCAAGAACTCCTGCAAGAGGCCAACAAAGTTCTTGATGTTGCTGGAGTTGCTCACTCATTTAGCCACCACAGGGAAGGAGAGCTGTGGTGGGAGCTTGCCAGCATCACTGTAACTGAGATGGCATTGCAAGGAATGCTGAGTCCAGAAAGACGCGAGCATCCGTCATGCCTTCCCTGGTTCTGTGCATGCGTGGAATGTGTGCACATAGCAGACACCCTTGTTTAAAGGCTTCAGCCTAAAAGGTAGCAACTATTCTGACCACAGAGCATGTACATTAGAACAAGATATGCGCCAGGCCTTTGCCACTAGACTTTTAGGTGCACCTGGGCTTGTTGGGATTCATTGAATCTCAAGCCTAAAATAATACAGGTGCAAATCCAGATGTTCTAGGTATTATCCAGCCTCCTTGTTGTAAACCTCAGTCTGTGGTACTGGGTTGGGAGGGACTGATGGCACCTTTCATCCTTGGACTTCTGTGAAGAACCCTCTAAGTCATTGAGATGGGAGAACGGGGTGGTGGAGAACAGGAGCTGAAGGTCTTTTCCTTCTCTTATGGACTGTGCAGGGAATTGGTCAGACACAAAGGCAACTCTAATGTACATGCCAAAATACCTAAAATAAGCCATGCAAACAAATCAGTCATATGTTATCCAGATGGGACTGTTCAAATCCAGTAATAGCAGTAAAGTGCTCCCGAACTCTGCAGAGAGAGAGATTATAGAAGGATCAGGTATTATAGTGCCTTATTATTACCATTCTCATCATTCTTTCTAACAAAGCTTTTCGATAGGGTGAAAAAACCTCTTGCAGGAAAGCGTAATGTGTTTGCTGGCACTTTTTCATTCTTCCTTCCAAGGCTGTTCAAGTCAGTCCTTGTAAGTGGTGTTAATAAATACTGTAATGATCTTGGACTATATCATCTTCCAGATGATACCTTCTTTAGCATCTCTCAATGGTCCTGACTACATCAAACCAGTCTCCCGAAATGCCTCACTGTTGCTACCACTAGTGAAAGCACCAGCAAAAATACCCCACAGCTGCTCTGATCCTTGCTTTGATACATACCCTTCCAAGCAGAGTTGATGAATGCCCTTAAAATATCAGTGGCAGCAAGTGGCTTGTCTGTCTATATAACTGTTCCAAAGCTGGAAGAATACAGGTGGAATTGCTTAGCAAATATTCTCTACTTTGGGGAAAGTCACAGAGCCAGAGGTACGTATCTGCAAGTTGTTCTCCCCCACCTGAGTCCCATCTCCTCTGCACACAATTGGTGCTTGTGAGAAAAGCCCAGGGTTATGGGAATCAGACCCCAGGTAAAACAGGTGTGGGGAACACTTTCCTTGTCTGCAGGTTGGTCGTGTGGGCTGGCCGCACTGAGAGAAGGAAAAAGGGCTCCTGGCGATTTTTTCAGCAGTATCCCTTTCCAGGTCAGTGCATATTCCTGTAAGTATTGCTGTTGGAGGGGCCTGATGGTGCAAGGGAGCCATGCTCACCATGCAGGCACAGCCTCACAGCAGCTCTGCAACCCAGCACCGGCTTCCCAGGCAGGGGATTTCTCATGGGAGGGGAGTCCTGTGCAGCTCTTCCACTTCTGCATCTTGGAGCAACTTAGTATAGGGAAAAGCAGTCAGTGAGCGTGTGGACAATAAAAACTCTACCCACGCATCTCATTCTTAATCTGCAACACTCCCTGCATTGCCATCCTCATGGCCCTGAGTCAGCAAAACCCTCACACCTCTCTCAGCTTGGAGAGTTGCCTGTGCCTCTGTCAAGTGTTACAAGGCAGGAGAGCATCTCTCCCAGGCTTCCCATCTCCATGCCCTGCTCACCTGCACATCCTGGGCAAACCAGGAGGAGAAGTGGTGTAGTTCAAACTTGGGGGGACAGGTTGGGTTTGCTTCTTGGGGCAGGAGGAAGGGGTGGTGTGCTGAGATAGGTCTTTCTCTTTTCTCCTTCTCTCCTCTTGTCCTCTCCCCTGAGCACCTTGGCAGAGCCTTGCTCTCAGCTCAATGAAAGTAGGGCAGAGCCTAACCACATTTCAAGCTGTCTGCGTTTTTGGATTCTGGGTAACTGTGATCTTTATCTGTTCCTAGAAAAGATTTAAACAATTTATAAACCACAGCTGGGCAGAGATATTAAAGAAAGCAGTATAGGGGTGGGGAAGGATGTCCCCAGCGTGTGCAGAGCAGGGAGAGGGCAGTCTGTGGGAGAAGCCATGGGCCTGGCTGTGGTAGAGGGTCTCAGCATGGCTACTTGGGCTGTGAAGGATGCAGGGGGGAGCCTTAGGGAAAGCTCAACAAGTGTTAGTGGCTAGGTATAAAACGGGTGTGTATGTGTATATACATGCATACATATATACGCATACATCTGAATGTATATGTACATACATATATATATATATGAGAAGAGGAAATGGAGATATACTTAGCCACAGGAGAAGGGGTCTGAAGCCTGCTCTGGTATCCACCTAGTCCCACCTCCATGCACTTGTTCTCACTGAGGTTATGTCTCTGTGCAGACAGGACACACTTCCTCTTGCACTCCAGGGCTTTTGCATTTCCCACTTCCCATCCCTGTGGAATGCACATCTACCACCACGTGGTTTTCCAGGCAGGAGTGACGCCTTTCACTGGAAGAGATGGAGTGGATTCAGGCTCAGTTCCCAACCTCCAAGCCCACAGAAGGGTTCAGAAAACCCCTCCAAGGTCTCCCACTGCCCCATGGCAGCCTTGGCTGCTCCCAGTGCACTCAGGAGTGGTCTGCAAGGGTGTGAAAAACAAAATCCAATCTTCCTGCATGAGGCCAGAGCTACAGATCCTTGTCCTGTAGTCCTGCCAGCCAAGGATGTAGACGGCAGTGGGAAATAGGGGGTGGGGAGGGAAGACAGAATGAAATACATTTCTATACTGGCAAAAATCCTAGCAGAGAGGTGGTTCTTCCAGCAAATGCTTTTGCCAGGATTCTTTATTTAGCTTGCATAGCCAGAATAGGCCCTGGTGGCAAAAAGACATTTTCCTACCCTAGGAGAGCATGCTAAAACAGCTGTATCAGTCTGCGTATTCTCCACATTTCATGGTAAAAGCAAAGTTAAGGAATTGATAGACAAAGAAAAGAGCCATACTCATTTGCCAGCTTGATTCTTAGCTACTTAATCTCTTCCCAGCCTTCCTCCCAGGAGCTGGCAGAAGCTTGGTGTGCAAGAAAAGCTGTGCCAATCTAAAGTGGGGTGTGACTGCATGCGTCTGTTGTGGGGTCCATGTTGGTTCCCAAGGTTGCTGTCATTGTGCTGTGGGTTGTGCCTCCCAACACCCTGAGCTGGAAAGATGCTGCAGGGCAAAGAAAAGAAAACCCCAAACCCACATAAAAAGGTGAGGGGAAGAACAGGGGAGGGAATTACATGGTCTGAGTGCAGGGGAGCACAGGGAGAAGAAATTTGGATTTGGAGGCAGCTGTGGGGCAGGCCTGTGCCCCTGGAGGTGGTTAGAAGCTGCTCCCTGCCAGGGTGTAGGGAATGAGGCTGGCACGGCTGGCTGGCTCAAAGCAAGGCTTGCTGAGGCCAGAGCAGCTTTCCTGTGCAGAAGAGGCCATACGGGCCATCTGGCGAGGCTGTTGCTGGCAGGGACCGGTCCTGCGCCTCCCTCCCAGCTACTGCTACCTTGTCCAACATGACCCTCCCTGTGCCTGCCCTGTGCAGACCCAGCCCCTGCGGGCACCACACTGTGCCCCTTACAGAGAGGGCAGCTCAGCCCTCCACTCGGGAGGATTTCAGAGCATGATGTGCACACCTCAAGGCATGCAGCTGGCGAGGAGAGGGGCCAGGGGCTCCTGTGTGAAGAGAGCATGGCTGGGAGCTTTCAGCATCATGCCCTGCTCCTGCCCAGCATCCCACCAGCAGCATTTTTGCTGCTAATGTGAGAAAGCCCAGGCTGGCTTGGTGATGGCACACCGGGGCTGGTGACACATCCCATGGTGGTGGGGGGCTGTGTGCCTGTGACTCCTGCTCTCTGCTCCCACGAGGGCCCCCACAGCAGCCACACACGTCCTTGGGATGCTGCCGCTGTTTGTGGAGGCACTGATTTGAGCTGCCCCTGGTGAGGCAACCATGGGAAGCTGAACATCATCGCTGGAGCCTTGACTAGAGCAGCATCGCTGGTTAGCAGTGTGAAATAGGTGCCTGGGCTTTGCTGGCTGTGGGAAGCACCCACGCATAGTGTGAGGAGGCCTCTGCAAGCTGAGAAGTACCATTCATACTAGAACTGCGCTCCTCACCACTGCTGTCAGGAGTTTCCACAGCACCCTTGGTATAGGATGGATGGCTTCTGAACTGCTGGGGCAGATGTGTGCGGGGCGACAGGTCGGGGCTGCTGCAGGGGCATGGACCTCTGGCAGCAGAGGGCTGAGAAGGGCGGCAGACAAGGGGAACGGATTAACCCCATTGCAGTGAGGCTGTGCATCTGGCAGAGCCTACCCTAAGGCTTATTTTCCTTTCTCTCACCCCATCTTCTGCCTGCTGCTGCAGTATCTGCAGCTTGCTGAGTAAATGTTGTCCTTCGAGTTGTCCATTACGGTTAATTAGCATTAATTTTGCCTTAAATAGATGCTGGTTTTGCTCGTTTTCTCCACCGAGCAGTACTGGGTGTGAAACACAGCAGCTCCCGCAGTGACCTGGTAGGTGGGTGCGGGCAGGAGGCCGGGCCTGGTACAACACCGGCTTTTCACGCGGGACCTGTCCGAGCCAGGCCCCGCGTGTGCAGCTGGCCTGAGCCGAAACGCCGGCGGCACAACCGCAGTTACCGCTGCTGACCGCCGGCTGCCCGCGGGTCAGGGCCGGAGGGGGGCCCCGCCGGCCGGCGGGAGCAGGGACGGAGCCGGTGCGCCGCCGGGGCGACGGCGCCATCTTGTGGGCAAGGGCGTGGGTTTGGCGGGTAACGGCCGCCGCCCCTCAGAGCCAGGCCGGGACTCGGGGGCTCGATGACGGCGGGCGGGTGACCCTCGGCCGAGGCGGCTTTGCTGTTCTTCCCGGTGCGGGTGAGCCGCCTCGGGGCGGGGGGGAGCTTTATCCCCTTGCACGACTGGACGAAGCGTGCCCCGCTGTGCCGTTAGCAGAGCGGCTCTGCCTGGCCCCGCTTCAGCCGCAGGCCCGGCCAGGCAGGTGTTCTGCGGGAAGGTGTCAGCCCGAGAAGGCAAAAAGTCATTCCAGGATAAGTCCGGCTCGGCCCGGCATGCCACACGGGCTGTACGAGGAGCCCGTGAAGAGGAGCTGCAGGGAACACGGCGGCGCTGAGGCTCAGCCACGCAGCATCAGCCCCTGCGAGCGCAGCAGGCGTGTGATGGTAATTTAGTCTCTGGGAATCTTTCCAGTAGATGAACAGAAAAAGAGCAGGAGCGGGGTGATTTCTGAGGCAGGCTGGTTCTGCTGGTGAAAGGGAATCTCAGAAGTGCCCCCTCCGTTCCCCACGGTAGTGTCAACACCTTTCTTTTTCTGGTTTCCCCTCGAGTTGCTGATTGTTCTCTTCCCTAGAGCAGTTCAACGGGTAGAAACATAGCGAGGGCATTGGCAGCTTTTACCTCGGCATCATCCAGCCCTGCTGGAGAGGCACTCGACACACAACAGTGGTAAAATTGCTGGCAGAGGTACAGCCCCGCTCGCGCTGGCTCTCCTATCGCTCCTGCCGCCAGACGGAGGGAAACTGTACGCCTCGGAGTCTGGAGTTAGAGGAGTCAAAGAGACTGTGAATCCTCAGAGGTGCGTGAGTTGCCGCTGGCTGGCTTTCCAGCGATGGGGGATTGAGCTGGTCTCTGACAAGGCAGCAAATCCGGAGCTGCCGTGCTGGGGAATGCTCTGAAGCGCTCTCTGCAATCAGGCTCGCTGAGTTGCTGCAGCTTTTCTCTGCGCCAAGCGGTGTTTCTCTTTTGGATGGTTGTGGTGTTAAACGCTTCAGCAATAAAGAGGCTTTGTTGTGGTCTCTGCAGCAGTGCTTTTGCCTTGGCTAGCAGCAGCCTTTTTGTTTGAATAAATGCTTTGCCTGGAGTTGGCTGGGGGGGGCATGTGTGGGCACGTGTGTGTATGTGCCTTTACTTGTGGGTGTACATTGGACACAGCTGTGAACAGGCAATTCTGGTAGGTTCGGCGCTTGCCCAAACTCGTCCTCTGTGCGCGCCAGAGCAATGTGCTTTTCCTCACAGTTGGGAATGCTGGCCACTGTCGCGGGCTTTTAACAGGGCTTGAGTGAAATTAATGGACACTTTACAGCTAGGAGCAGAAACTGTTGCTAGCACCTAGCCCAATCATGTATTTAGTCTCAGGAAGTGATCAGCATTCCCTGCATCAAAAGAAGAACCAAGCCATACAGATCCTGAGCGGTCTGTGCTGTTGCAGGGCTACAGCTGGACAGGCAGTTAGTTCCCTCCTCATCATGCTGCAGGGAGCAGCTCACATATAGCAGTGTACTGTATAATGCATGAGTGAAGGTCATACAACTACCTATTCCTTTGGAGCTTTATAATTTATTTCCTTTGGCACAGGTATTCTGGTTGGCTCCAAAACCTAAGTTTTAGGGAGGATCAGTTCAGCCCTGCTACAGGCTGGCAATAGAAACACAAAATTCCCGATCTTCCTCATCTTCATCTTCCACCATTTATGTCTCCAGAGTTAAAACCCAGTCCAGAATCTCCAGACCAAATTGAATTAGAATTTAACATTCAAAGATCCAGGCTCCCTTTAGGCTCTGAGGAACAGAATGTCATCCTGTCTTGCAGTTAATAGCTGCTGGGTAGTCATTTCAAAGCCATTTCTTTTCAGCGAGCTCTACCATAGCAAATCCCAGCAGTGAAAGTATTTCTGGCCGTGCAGTGCCTCTAATCCCACAGCTGGGTTTTATGTGTGATCTCTTTTGAAATACTAGATCTATATATATATTTTTTTTTTATTCCAGAGGGTGATACTTCCAGGAGTTGGCATTTAGAGTGGCAACGGGGTTGTTTTTAGGAAGAGAAGGGAAAAGACGGAAGGATGATGTTGACCCAGCAGCCTCACAAAGCTACCGCACTTAATCCACTTATCGCTCTGAATTCCTGAAGCAGATAAATGCTGATAACAGTTAAAACACATTACTGACAGGAGCAGCATGTTCTGTCCTCTAGAAATACATCAATGTTGGAAATTGCAAAGCTGTGTGCTACCATGGGGATGAGCATGATAGAAGAGCAGAGGAGGCCCTCACTGTTCAGCAGAGCTCTTCCACAGGAGGGTAGTAAGACCTTCTCCCTCCTTCCTCCAAGTACCTTGAGGTGTTGTTCAGGCCTGAGAAACACTGCTGAGCACTGTTGTGTTCCAACAGCCCCTCAGAGCCACAGCTGCCTGATCTGTGCCTACATATCTGAAACACCAAGTGAGCCCCAAGTGTCTTGTTACCGCTCTTGATTGTCCTTGCTGTTCAGCATTAAGACCTGCGAGGAGTAATTTCCAGCTGAGACCAGCTTCGTGCAGCTCACGTCAGCATGTCTTGGGGAGAGGAGTTGGTTTTGGCTAATCTGGGCTAAACCTTCCCTGGAGGAGTGCAGCTGCTGCACCAGCCTTCAAGAGCCATACGAAGCCACTTGCTCCTCTCCCCATCTGTCAGGGCTCTCTCTCAGGAAGGTACTGGAGTCATCCCTGGTCTCTGGGGGCGGTAGTGGCTGCAGCTGCAAGCCACCCCCTGTGTCAAGATGCCTTCCTCCGGAGGACCTGTCCAGGCTGAACAGGAGGAAAAATGCTGTAAACCAAAGGTGGTTTTGGAGCAAACCTTGCTCCTACAAAGTCTGGAGGGATAACTCATAGAGAGCAATTTTGATGACAGGCTCATCTACCTTCTTCAGTATTTCCTGCACAGCTGTCTCCTACCAATCTCCACAGCAAAGCACCCCATGTGTGCAGGCACCCTTGAAATTGCAGCATAGTGCTTTCTTGTGGACAGCACAAATGTCTCACAAAAAAAAGTACGAAAGGAGGAAGCTGCCAAGAGAGAAGTTAAGACCTTTCAGGCATTAGGGTTTTTTTGAGTCAGACACTGCTCAGCTGTTGCATTGCAGATTTCTTAGCTAAAAACAGGCTTTCATCAAAATCAAAGACTCTTCATGAGTATAGGCGGCAGGATCCTCCCACAAAAAGAGGGTTTTCTTCTTCAAAGGGCTCTCCTTAGATTCCCCTACAATAGATTTCTTAAGGCTTGCCTGTATAGCGAAGCTGATTCAGAGCCAGCTGTGTGGATCTGAAACATCCCAGCCATTAGGAATGAATTTGCTGTCCCGTTGTTCTCACTTCTGGAATAAGAGTGCCTTTCTCCAAAGTGACCTAGTAGAGGAGTTGGCTGTGGAGGGAAGTTTTGTACAGTCCAGAATACAGCGGAGCTGTTCCTCTGTACTGACTGCTGATGTTAGTACTTGTTTCCTGTGTTGAAGGCAAAACAGGGGATCCCACACTTGAGTGTTCACATAAAAGAGGAGTTTAATGTTGCTACTCTGCCCTGAATCCACACCCCGTGGCGCTGCTCAGTAGCTTCCTCATGTGAACAAAGCACTTGATGAAGATAAGTAGAAGTAATGTGCCCTTATTCCAAAACCTGGATGGTCCATGCAGTGAGATATTCAGGAATAGCTGTTCCGAAACAACTGTGTAAACAAATCCGTGCAAAATTATGGTTAAAAATCCCACTGTGCCACTTTTAAGCTTGCCCATTGCTCCAGAATCAGTTGAATCCTTCCCTGAATTTGACCACATTCACCTCAAATGGCCTCAGTCAGCATCAGTCAAAGCGCATTTTTTTTCCCTAGTCCAACATCGGGCTTTGGTCATTGTGAAAGGTGACAAAGTTTGCTTGGAATGAGTAGGATATTTTATAGTCATCGGGAGACAAAGCTCAATGCATTGAAGAGTTTGTAGTCTAATCTTTGGGCACCTACTGGTAGGTGTAACACCACTGTAACAGTACAGAGATATGAAACCTGGTGTGGGGAGGAGTCTTACTGAAAAGCAGAAGAGCTGCAGCTGCCAGGAACAACTTGGCAAAAGCAGTGTGTGTACATCCTGACATCCATTCACAAACAGGAGAGGATCAACCAGCTGCCCACGCGTGGAAATACCTGACAACCTCCATCTCTTTCACCTTTTGGATCTATGTGTCTGGTTGCTCTCTTCCAGCCTTTGACCCCCTCATCATGGCCTCTACTCTAAAAGTCACCTTCCTGTTTCTTTGGTTGCTTCAGTGTGGAGGTAAACTTGTGAGTTTTTATTCCTTTTGTTTACTCTCACATTTGTTCATATTAGAGTGTTTCCAGCTGCTATCTTTTGCTAATTTCCAGAGATTCCCTCTAGGAATTGGCACGCTGCTGCTATTTCTGTCTTTTAAGCATTTCAAAGCAGAGAGAGAGAATCCTCAGGAAAGAAGGAACATGGGAGAAGGGTTAGATAACCTAAATAAAATGGTTCGGCTTTTTCCCCAGTATGTTCTTCTCAAACTAATGGCCCCTGGGATACTGTAAGAAGATGGATTGCTCTTCTGTTTTGTTACAGCAGTGCTTAGCCATGTCTTGTGTAGAAACTATATTCATGTGTGTTCTGCTGGGTAGAGATCAGGAGAAGGGTGATGAATGATTTTGGAAAATAAGGCCCAGAAGAAACCACTCGGGTTATCACTCCTACAGTGTCTGCAGGATTTTCTGTCACCGTCTTTCCACAATGCTGTAGCTAGTGTCCACAGGACTGCATGCTCACAATGAATTAAGCACATCCCTTAGGACTGTACTGTATCTCAGTTTCTTTTACAGCTAGGAACCTTTTTCTAGTGATGTAAACTAAGCTCTTCCTTACTCTCCAGCCATTGTCCCTGGCTATATATCATCTGTAGAGGATTTTTCTTTATGGACGTTACTTCCTAACAGTCCTTTCTGGACAGTGGCCACACTCTTCCTCCATTACTGCCCCCCATGACCCTTCCTCAGTGCTTAGCATTCAGCTGTCCTATGGCTGAGTTGCCTTTTCCAACACGAGTCCCACTGTGCAGAGGTGATGCTGCTGTTGTGATGCAGCATTAGTGCATGATGACAGGAAAGCAAGCCTGGCTGTTCTCAGGGACAGGTTTAATGCCTTGTTATGAGCCTGCTTATAAATGCAGAACTCCAGGGAATCCCATCAAAAGCATGAATGGAAAAGCATGCCTATCCCCTTCTTTCTCTCTCTACTCCTTCCCCCCCCCCCCCCCCACCTTTTATTTTCATGTCTCTGAAAGAATCCTTCATTTTGTAAGAAGACTTGTGTGTAAGTTTCCAGTTCCTTTTTTAAAGACAATGGTAGTTTCCAGGGACCTTTTCTTAAGTTGCTCTATATGTGGTGTCATGTCAGCTGTTAAACAAACAGATTCTGAGACTGCCTGATGTTAAACCTGGATTCAGCTGAGAAGCAAAAGAGGTCCTGCACCCTGGGCTCCTTACTAACCCATGGCTCACTCTTAGCATTTTATTTTTTATTAAACAAAACAGGGAGTTAACTATGGTGTGATTTTCCATCTGTGCTTATTCATCCTCTCTTGTAACTCCCAACATCATTGTCTAAAGAATTGCAGTGATAGATCACTTTCAACAGCCCTGTCTGTGTAAGGAGGAAGCCATGAAGGGCATGATATCCCATCTCTCTGCCTAAGATACTGTCACATACAGATACTTAAGATCTGCAGTCTTCTGCAGATAGTTCCCATATCTAGCATTGAGTCTTGTGCTTTGCTGCTCATTTACAGCAGTAAAAGTCTGGAGTGATTAAGCGGTGTCTTATTTCTCATGGCCCTGGTGCTGGCCCCTGTACAGAATATGTAATTTCCTTCCTCACTCGTGCTTCAGAAACACACAGTCCACTTACAACACCTGCTTTGCCTACAGCACCTTCACTGCCACAGCCATCGCATGGCCACATGGAGATGCCCAAACAGAGGTTTGTAACTTGGGAGTTTCAAGAGATGCCCAGCTAGCATTTGTCTTGGAAAATTGCTTTCTATTCATCTGCTGTAAATACAGTCTCACACCACTGCAAAATCAGTTCACTTCCTGCTTCATTTCCTGTCTTTCTGCACACTGGTGTTGTACAGAGGAGCTCACAAGGGAAAAGGGGAAGCCTGTGAATGCAATAGGCTATCGCAAATCATACAGCAATTACCTAAGAGATGTGGCAGATCACACAGGGCACGTGCTCTGAATCACTCCATCTCTGACAAGGGCCAACACTGCGTGCTACGGCTGCACTTCCTGACATACAGTTGCTTTCAGTGTGACCCTGTCTTTGGGGCAGCAGGCTGCTCCTGACTTCAAGTGATGTTAGGTGAGTTAGGTGACTGCTAACCATTATTACCCTTACAGGGGCAAGCGTCAATGTACAGCAGAAGCCTCCAATCCAAGTTGCACTGCTTGAGGAAGGAATATCCATCCCCTGTACAGTCATCTTCCCTTATATGCCGAAATACACCACATTTTCAATCTTCTATTACTGGATTAATTCACTGGGCCAGAAAACATCCATTTACAGTAAGTTGGAAAGTGTAACCATCCCTCCTGGAGAAGAGAATAAGACTGCTACTGTATCTTACAAACACATAATCAGGCCCCTTGAAAACATCTCTTCTACTGGCACATACTACTGTGACGTCAAATGGAATAACATTCACAAGATGGGAAAGGGAGTGTTTGTCCTTGCTAGAGGTAAGCAAACAACCAGAAAGAAAGGGTAGGTGGTTATAAATCAGCTGGATCTGGCTATGAAAAGATGATCTTTTCTCTTCTTTTTCTCTGCCCAAACATGCTATGAAGTCAGGTGGGAATAATACTTTATGCCAAATACTTAATGCCATCAGAGTTAAATGCACTTTGCACAGGTGACCTGTGCTACTGTTCCCAGTGTGCAGATGGGACATGAAGTTGCAGTGATTTTTATCTGCCCTGCTGCAGCCTCCTGGGAACAGCAGGCATAAAGCCAGGGTCTAAATGGGGAGCCTGGGCATGGAGTCAGGGTGTGCTTTTAGGTGTTATTGTTCAGGAGACAGTGTGCTTTGGCCTTTAGCAGCGTGACAGAGATGGTTGACTGCAAGGTCAATGGTTAGGGTTCTTGCCATAATCAGACCTACAGGCTAGGCACTCACTGTTGGGGGCTCACAAACACGTCAGAGGCTCACTGTAATCCTTCCCCCTTTCCCATGTGGTACAAGGGGTCAGTTGTTCCATTAATGCACAGACATGCATGCTGCTGACTGGCTGGATTTGCACTACTGAATGCAATGCTAGATATGGAAAACTTCTTAGAAAGTGTAAATGCAAAGAGCTGTGATGAAATAGCTTTGCTGCACTGGTCAGAGGATGCCTACAGTATCCACCCTGCTAGTTTGTGTGGCCTGTGTGCTTTCCACCATCTGTCTTTCTGCCCCTACCACTAAAGACCCTAGTAGCCAGCCTCTACCTACCACCTTCTTGGCTCTCATATGTCCCCTCCCTCTAACCAATATGAAGTGCAGCTGCTTATATCCTGTCTATTTTGTGTGATTCCTTGGCTGCACCCTGCTTTCTGTTCAGTCAGACTGAAGGTTTTGCAGGGTGTGAGCACCTGCAGTACCATATTCCGCACTGTTTCTCTCTTTTAGTTCTCTCAAGACTTTCTCCAGGGTTAAAGATACAGCAGGATTGTAACTTCCACTCACACTGTGAATCTTTTGCCTTCTTTCTTACAGGTACAGGGTATGTAGAGACCTCTTATGGGTGGGAAGTCCTCATTACCTTTACAGTTCTTCTTGCTGCATTGAGCATAGCTGCAACATCCCTGCTTCTGTGGAAAAGAAAGGCAAGTTATAACTGAATAAAAAGCAATATCTGACACAACCCATTCTAGGAATTTATTTCATTTGCTTCTAACTTGGCTGGATTGGAAGTCCCTGTGCTGAAATTTTCCATGTTGGGTGTCTGCTTCTTTAGGTTTGATTTTTATTTTTTTTTTGGGGGGTCTTTCTGAGAAAAAAAGATTTTAGGAGAGACAAAATGTGTCATTGATTTGTCCATTAAAGAAATTCTGGTAATCATTTGGACTCCAGCATACTCTGCTTTAAAGCAAGGATCTGGCACAAAGCAAGAAGTCACACTAGCAGTTGTGCTGGCCCTGAGAATATTCAAGAAGATGTAGTCTTGTGATGGGTTTTTGGAAAATTGCAGTTTGTGCCTGCTCAGTTGTCTAAAGGAGCCCCTGTGAGGCTGCTTTTCCACATGGTGCCACTTAGACAGGTAATGTCCTGTGCACTCAAGCGAGTCTGTGGCAGCCCTGGTGGCAGGCGGAGGGCAGGACTTTCCCCATTTCTAATCCTCTTTCATGATGGGGACTACTCTGGTTCAAGGGCACAACCTGATTGCAAGAAGGCTGTACAACTGCGCTCTTGAGCCATGGCTCAGGCACTATAGAAAAAAGCGATTTGCAACATGGAGGGGATGGGGACCAGAGCCAGACCAGACCAAAGCCCAGCTTTTGTTTGACAGAGAAAACATTAAGAGGCAGAGTGAGAGGGAAGGTCTGGACAAGGACGCGAAGGAAGCCTGTGTGGAAGTCCCAATTAACTTGGAAAAAAAAGGGAAACAAGGACCTGAAGAGCAACTTGCTTTAGTTGGCATTGTTTTGAGCAGATGGGGATAGAACAAGGCAATCTCCAGAGGCACCTTCCAACAGCAGTGATTCTGTGAGGCTGGAAGGAGCCTCAGAAGGGAAACTGGGACTGGAATCTGGAGTGAGGAAGCACTGGAGCTTGGAGGAGGGTGTTAGGACTGAACTGACAGGGCCCTTCAGGTGAGCAGACTAGTAGCACAGGTTGGGATCAGCTGGGTAAGGAAGTAGAATCTGGGATGAGTAGCTGAGGGCAAAAAGGAAAGCAGGAGTGGGGAAGAAATGATGCAGAGAGAAAGAGAAGAAAAGCCAAAAGTAGGGCTGAAGATCTGGATGAGACAGGGGCCCTATGGAAAAAAATCTGGAATTATGATACTGGAATACCTGTGTGTGGGAAACCTATTGCTCCTAGTACTGCCACCCTCAGGTGTTCGAATAACATCCTCTGCATTCTTCCAGAGATCTCCAGGCTGGCTTAAAACCCCCTGGTGTCTTTTAGAATGGAATTTGGGGATTGTTTTTTTCTAGATAGAGTATGCCCCATATTTACTTTTTCAAACTGCCCTCTGCCAACACAACAGCAGACTCTGCATGCATTTTTATGTGGAGGCTGTGCTAGTGGTACAGTATGACTCCAAGGAGCATCAGGCTTCAGCACACACAGTCAGACATCAGGAGGTTGAAAACAGAATGGCAGCAGTTGGCAGACCTGCTAATCTCGTGAGACTTCCTTTGCAGGCAGTCTGATGGAGGGGGAAGGGGTGTGAGCAGTAGAGTGACTAGGCTGGAGATGGGCCCCCATCTCTGTTTGCCTAGACAGCATCTCCATGGGGATGATGAGGGAGGCACTGTCACGACTTGCCAATTGGCATCTCTAGGTTTTGAGGTGGGCCAGCAAGTCTCAGACCTGCGGGCTCTCCTTGGGGCCCAAAGAGATCTTGCAGACATTCCATTTGCCCTCCTGCAGAACACAGCCCATATTTCTCACCACAGCTTGCTCAGACCTGCTGGTTTAAAAATGTTTATCTTTAAGAGAAGCTATTTAGCATCCTCCTTAGTTACTAATGGACTGGAAAGCAGTTCATCGTTTTCATGTGATGTGAATATAATCATCCCACTTCTTTCTGAATTAGAACAGAGATACTCAGCAAAGCCTTCTGCCTTTTCTGCCTCTTCTTTTGCTTGCTGAGCAGGGCTAACCCTTATCTGTGCATGGATGAAATGTGCTCAAGGAGAACTCATCTGATACACGAAACGTTTCAGAGGAAGAGACCTTCCTTCAACCACATGCTGGACTTGTACATTAGCATATCACTGACTATATGTCATCATTAATGGTCATCTGTGCTCTTTAGACTGTGTATTAGCAAAAGCTTCCTGGCCAAATCCTCACAGAAGTCATCTTGTTTCTTTGAAATCCCCCTGCACACTTTGAACAGGGCCCTGCTTTACTCTCTGGCCTACAGCATTGTTGTGCGCTGTTAAATACTTGAACTCTCCATCCACCTAAGTTTCAGTGGTGGAAGTGATTTCTATGAATGCACAGAGCCCAGTTCTCCTTTCCACTGCTCCAGGGTAAGTCACCAGACCATTTAACCCTGTGGTGAGGAAAGGGACCAGGCCACATGTTGCAGAGTGCCAGCACTCTTTCCTGTGAAAACAGGAAGGGAGTATGTGAGCAGCTGGCTTCAACATTACATTGGTGTTCATTTCACTTTGGGAAGATGGTGTTTGCTCCAAATGTATCATTTGGTGTCTTGTCCTGACCAGGTGTTGTGCCCTAAAAGGAACCAGCTAAATATCCTGAGATGGAAGGTGGAAACCCAACCCCCTTCAGCCGTCCCACTACCACCATCTCCTGTCTATGATGTGAGTATCAGTATCACCTTCCCTCCTTTCTCTTCGCATCATGGTAGAACCCTTCCTTTTCCTGCTCTGCCATGGTGCAGACAGCACCAGTATCATTATACGAAACATAAGCAATACCCATGCACCAGCTTGGTACTGATGACCCTGTGCTCTGCCCTGCTTAGCTCCTCTCAGGACTATGCATGTGGTGTGTCTCCATCCTGGTCCCACTCATGGCCTCCCCAGTGCCAAAGCCTTGCACTGTGCCCTGTGGGGCAGCACCCTTTCCCCTGTCAGCAGTGTAGCAGCAGAGAGCTTTGGGCCAGAGGGGGTTCCTGGTGTTAGAAGAGGAAGGTCTTCCAGGAGGCAGGAAGAAAGACAGGATCTTAGCCCCACTTTGTACTGTAGAGTGTCTCATGGGCATGACATTCCCAGCTGGAGAATGACAGCTTGGGAAAGGGGCAGAGAGATGTGCTCCCCCAAAACAACCTGAGCTGATTAGAGCTCCTGCTGTGACACCTTAACTGGTGTCAGTGTCACAGACCCTGCAGTTCTCTCTCTCAGGGAGAAAAGGGCAGGAAGAAAGTGAAAGGAGTCTCTTTCTTGGAGCATCTCCCACTTTCATTGTGCAGGATTTCCTTTTCCATTCCCCAAACTGGGGAACACCAACTGCTCCCACACCTCAAGGCCAGTAGGCTCAGCATCATAGGTAATAAGATTGGAGTATCTCTCCTGAAATGTCAGACCCAGACCTCAGCTACCTCAAGTAACCACGACCCCTAATCCCATTTAGAACCCATCCAGATCCATTTAAAATGGATTCCTTTTTCTCCTTTTACTCCCATGGGAGGGCTGCTCCATGACAAAGGGAAGGGTTGTTTTTTTCCCCACCCCCGTGATCTGTGGGACAAACAAGGAGGCATAAAATGAAAGTGAGTAGAGAAGGATATTTCCTGAATATTAGGAAACCATTCTAACTGCAGGGTCTGTGAGGGCTGGAAATGTCTCTCCAAGGAAAACCTGTGAGCTCTGCTGCATTAATCATTTAAACTAAACAAAGCGAAGCCCTGGAGAATGTACTACAGAGAGGAGCAAAGCTCTGCCAAGGAGGTAGGAGACCTGATCAGGGGCAGATATGAACAAGAGGATGGGCCTGCCCTGTTCTCATTCTCACTTCACAGGCGGGGGAGGGGGTGCACCATTTTGTGGCCCTTGAATTTTTGGAGCAGAGGTTTCAAAGAAACCACTATGTATTGTATGTGATATGTTTATTCTGGGCAAAAAGCAATGCTTTGGGTAAAGGAGGTTGCAGGTTATAAACCTTTTCATTTGTATCAAGTAATTTATTTTTAATTCAGGCTTATAAAAATCCAAATGGGTAGTTTCCTGCTGAAGTGGATGATTTCTGCAAGGAGACAAAAAAAAATCAAATCCATTTCTCGCTCAGTCGGCCTCGTCATGCATCCTTAGCTCCATCTTAATTACATGTTTCATCATGTTGTTCTGTTCAGGAGGCCCCGCGAAGGCTAATCCAGCAAGCCAGCAGAGGCAGCTTTAGGCACAGGCAGTGCCTGGAGCTGGCTGAGCCTCTGTGCTTGCCGCAGCCCTATGGACCTGGCCCAGGCAGCCTTCCCTGAGGCCCGTTAACCACACACCAGCTGTGCAGGGCTCGCAGCCAGCATGGTGTGCAGAGCAGGCACTCAGCCCTCTTCGGCAGAGCTGTAAGCAGCCTGGACCACCTCCTGCCTGTGCGTGCTGGGGGGCACAAGCCCACCCAATGGAGGGTCCTTTATCGTGGAGCAGCTGCTGCGGGGTGACTCGTTCAGGCATGAAGCAGCAGCTCCAGCCGCACACATGGCACATGATGAGAGCAGGAGGGAGCATGGAGGAAAGAGGGCCAGAGCCCTGGGGTGGGGACCCTGTGTTGGATGGGCCCTCAGGACACGTGAAGGGAGTGGGAAGTCGACAAACCCTATTTCCTTTGAAAGATGACTGGTGATCCGCTGCCAAATTGTGTTGGGACTCTGCATGGTGTAAACCCAGCTCTGCACACTGTGCTTGAATCTAGGTGTGTTGTGAAAACCTGCTGCTGTTAAATCGGGTGTTGAACACAGAGCTTAGTCCATGGGGAGGGTAGAAATCTGTCCTCAGTGCTGCGGTAAGCTAAGGCAAGGAAATGGAAAGGACACGTGAGACGTAACTCCAAGTGATGAGATAAAGAAGGAGGTCAGTGATTAGGGAATGGGACAGGAGGCCAGCACATTCCAGATGGGCTATCTGTGGGGAAAAGCAAGAGGTCAGACTCTGGAAACAAGTCACATCAAGGAACCGCAGTGTCCCTGTAGGCCTGGAACTGAGAGCAGGAGCGACAGGAGGCAGCACTGGACATCAAAGCAAAGGCTTGGAACAGGCTGGTGCAGCTCATGACATGTTATCCTACACAGCAACAAGGCTCACCCCTGGTGTGGGAAGGGTCCTAGCACACCTTCTGCAAAGCCATCCTGCTGAGTATCTCTAAGAACAAATGCCTTCCCCGCTGGCTCTTCCAGGTGTCACTGTTCACCTCGTGGTCCTGGGGGTAGGTTTATGCAGTGAAAAGCAGCAAGTAGCAAAAAGCCCTGATAATAAGAGGGCCGCTGGGCACCCTCTTTGTTCCCATTACATTGCCAGTTGTTCCTTGACCTCTTTGTCCCTCCTGCATCACTAGAGCAGCTCTACCTCACTGCATTGCCCGGACCCAAACCTGTATTTCCCTCTTGTCTTCCAGCTCAGCTGCCTTGTTAATGAGCAGCTTGGAAATAACAATCCAAGGGACTCGCTTCATCCACTTTACACTTCAAATAAGCTTTTTAGAGCAGCAAACAGAACCCCTGCAGTGCAGGCGGGTTCCAGAGCACAGGAGCTTTTCATGGTGCGAGGGAGACAAGGAGGCTGCTTGCTCGGGGATGGGCAGGCATCTGCCAGCAGGGAGGAGAGAGGCCTCTGTGCCTCCACTGTGACAGTAGCAGGTGGTCAGCGACCAAGGAAAAGTAATTAATTTGCAAATGGTGACTGGAGAAACCAGCTTTCCAAGGAGCCAGCAAAGGACCAGCACTGTCAATAGCCTCCATGGGAAGAGGGCTTGAGGAGGGAGGGAATGATTTTTGGAGGTTAAACGCCAAAAGGATCCTTCTTGCTTGCGAGTGGAGTCAGACTAGAGCAGTGAAAGAGGCTGCCTGTTGTCCTGCCAAGGGGGCACAGTGCCAGGCTGCTGGGAGCGCAGCATGTGGGATGGGGTCCTCACTGTGAGCATCACAAAGAGAATTGAAAATGAGAATGGGGAAATGGGATTCTCCATGTGCGCGAGTGCACATGTGAATAGTTGGGAATGTCTGTGTAGGCAAGCGGGTTGTTGGGAATGGGGAGAAGCCAGGTGAAATAATTTGACTGTTCCCAAAGGAGGGGTGGGAATGGGAGTGCCATGTGGTGCTCCATTCTCTGCGCTCCCCTCCTGTCCGAGTGCTTGTTTGTTCCAAGCGCCACTTGCAAATGCTGCTCCTCTATCATCTGGTCCTGTTCAAACCGCCATCCTGCTGGCCATGATCCCGAAAGATACTGAGTGTTTGTAGCTCTGGATAAAATGATGAGGCTTCAGGTGACTGGGCAGCCCCAGAAACGGGCCTCCATATTTTGCTCTTCCTCTGCTGCGTTGCAGGGCGCCTCGCTCCCTTTGCAGTCTCTCCACTAATACCATCTGCCCCTCTTGCGGCCGGAGCTCCTCCCATCTTCCTGTTGCCAGAGAAACAGCCACCTTGGCAACCTGCTGTCATCCTTGAAACACACACGGAAAAGTCCTCCTGATTGTTATGTTTGATCCTTCAGGCAGATCTGGAACATCACTCAAACTGACACGCATCTCCTGTGACATGATTACCTGGGGGACCAGTGGGTGCATATTCATGCAGGGCATGTGTATGTTTGTGTAGCTGTGTGGGACCACGGGTATGTTTGAGGGCCTGGGAGTGTATTGATTTTTATTATTATTGTTCTTTGCTCACTCTAAGAAGAAAAGAGAGATTCAGCTTGGGGAAAAAAAAAAAAGAACAAAACAGATAATAAACAGGAATCTCGCCTGAGGTAGGGTTTCCCATTTTTGTCAGCCCCTGTGCTTCAGGACCTTCAGCCTTGCCCCTCTTCTCACCTTTGTATGCCCAGAATAACCATGAGCAAAAGCTTGTGGGTGTCAGGTGCCTAAACAGTTCTGGGTGCAGAGCACTGCCCATTACCTGTGGTCCACATGGTGCACAATATCCTTCCATGAGGCAGAGGGGTCTTTATCCTGCATTCTGGGACAATTTGAAGTGGAAGAAAGTGGTAGCATTGGCATTGTTCTCCACTGCCTTACACAGGGTAGGTAACATCAAAGCCTGCCCCTGTGAGCCTGAAAAAGGAAGATGATGCAGTTGCACTGTAGAGCTTTCAGGGGAAAAGGATTTTCTGTTTGCCCAAGTTCAGGTCAGGAATGTCAACATTTTGGAGATGGCAGTTCCTAAAAAATGTCAGGCATGAGATGGGGAACAACCCAGTAGACTATTAATTGTCTTAAACCTAAGTAATTTATTTGACCCTTAATCTCTTCTCTCTTCTTCTGCAGTGCCTGGATTTGCAGCAAGTTGATGTCTATTCTATCCTCAAGGACAATGCAAACAACCTGTCACCCAGAAAGAGTCCTCCAGGGAAGGTAAGGGCTGGGGCCCTGCTCTTGGAGAGCTCCCTTATTCCCTGGGCACGTGAGGAAAGAAACCCCACAGAGTGACCATGGCACTAGCAGGCACACTGAAAGGAGAAAATGAGACATGGCATCCACTGACCAGCTGGGCTGCACATGTAGCCCATCTTCCTTCTTCCAGCAGAACCCTCTCTCCTGCAGCTCTACCAGTTCTGGCAGTCCTGGTTTTGTGCAGATGCTTTGCTGTATGACGTATGCTGAAAGGCATTGAGGGGTTTGGCATTGCTCTGAACAGGATGGATGTGCACAGAGGGTTGGCCAGATGCTGGTCTCCACTATTGTCCTTTCCTGGTTATCTAGGCAGCTGAGAAGTCCTCTGGGGTAGAGGAATCTGTGCACTGGGGGCAGACTCTGGACACAGCTTTGCTGTCACTGGCGTTAAATACCTGAGCGCCACTTCATGGTAGCAGAATATAAGATGGTCTGAACTAAGGCTGGGCTGATACAGTCTCTGTCAGTTCTGGGGCTAAGGAAAAGGCAGTGTGGGCATGTTTTGAGCTCGGATCTTCTTGCTGGGCTGGGAGTAACGAGTTAGAGACAAGGAACTAAAAGCACGCATAGTGAAAATAGCGGCAACTAGGAATATGCAGGTGAAGATCAGTTGTGTGGGCCACATGAAGCAGATTAGAAGCCCACACAGCCCTCTACTATGCCTTTGGCAGGCATCAGCTCTTTCACAGGGGCAAAACTTGCACTGGGCACCCCAGGGAACATTTCCTTCCTGTCCTCAGAACTTTGTTGTTCTTTTTCCCTCCAGACCTCTTATCTGTTAAAAAATACCTCCATTATTCTAATATTGGAAAGTGTTCCTGAAAATGTCTCCTGCTTCCTCCCACTGATGTCCTGTTGGGGAGAGTTCCCCAGGTTGCCTAAGCAGTGTGGAGAATGGTGCCAGCTTCAGTTGACATCGTCCCTCTGTTTCTTGAAAAACAGTATTTTCCAGTATGTGAGGCATTTTCACAACTCCCACCTTTTAGGAAACAGTGGTCTAAAATCCAGCAGCCTCCTCTGTGTCAGAGCTACTTGCCATGTGATCTGGTCCCAAGGGCTCTAGCCTCCTGCAGTTACTGGTGTGGCACAACAGTGGTTGGTGGTAGCAGACAGTGGCAGGTATCTGATCACTAAGGGGAAGGATGGTCTGTTTTATATAGGCTGTCTTATGCCCCAGTGCATCATACATGCTGGAAAAGACAGTGTCCCTGGCTTTGTGCTCCTGCTGCATTTTGAACTAGCTGGATAGAGAGAGCAGTAGATCCTGATCCATTCTCCCTGTCCTATTTATTCTTCTGTATACCTTTCTCAGCTGCCCCCTTTGGAATGATTCAGTCTGGATGATGAGATGCAGTATGCGTGGGTTTTTCTCCCTAGTGTGGAGCTGTCTGGGCTGTGCTGAATCTGTGTGTGCCCCACACCACTCAACTGCTGCTTTGGAGAGTAGCGGGTGTGTAAAACAGAGCGTGAGCAAAGCAAGATAAAAAAAGCATCTGTGTGTGAGTCGGTCTGGTGCTGATAGTCTCAGCCAGGGTGGGGTAAAGGTCGAAGCAGAAATAGGAGAAACGAAGAAGAAAGCAAAGAGAGGGGATGAAATGAGGTCTCACACCAAGAGCAGACACCACCAAGTGTCCTGAATTCATGTACTGATCGGAAGGAAATGTGAGTGGCAGTGCCCTGTGATTGCTGCACAGGAGAATTTGTCGGTGCTTTCCACTGCTGGTGCAAGCACCTTCATCAGCTTCCCTCTCAGTCATCCTGGGCTGTGACCACCTGGGACACTCCTCCTCCACCTGGCTGTGCCAAAATATAACAGGGTGTTTTCCTTAAGAGTGAGACTTCTGGGCCAGTGTGTTTGGCCTGTGAACAGAAGCTGGGATTGCTGAATGGTGGCCAACCCTGCTGCAGAGAGTCCAGGCCAGGCCTTGCTGCGGGATGCTGTCTGTGGAGAGGGAGCTGTAAAGGGAAGCAGGGCAGAGAGCCTCTGAAACAAAAGCATTTGCATGCTGTCGTGCTGGACTGTCAGCCAGTTTGGGTAGCGAGGTTTAATCCCACATGCTTTGCAGGTGCCTGGAGTCAGCATTTTGTAAAACATTTCCTTTTGGAGGTGGCAACAGGGAAAATGCTAGTGTAGGTAGGACTTCCTTCACCCGGTGGCATTTCAGCTACTTGCTGTGTAACCTTGCTTACAGCAGGCCTGTGCCACACAGCGCTTAAAATATCAGTCTGTCAGCGCCTTGTCTACACAAGGAACAGTCGTGAGGAATAGACTCAACTGTTGAAGAAACAGGATTGAGGAGGTCAGGGAATTCCTCCTTCACAGAATCCAAAGTGATTTATTTTTTTACCAAGTCCAATTTTCCCTCCCCTTCCTGTCTGACAGCTTTTGGGGGGAAGAATGACAAGTAAAGGAGGCATCTTTATCCCCTGGGCTGGATTAGTCACATTTGTCTATGGCAGAGCAACATTTCTCACTGTAGTAGCTTCCATTTCAGCAGACCACTTGGAGCCATTTCTAACAGAACAAATGTCAGGGTCTGCTTATTAAAAATTAATTCATCACCTTTTGAATAATTTTCCTCCATTTCTTTATTCTCCTTTTCATCATTCTGCAGACACCTAAGAAGCAAGCAACTCTAGAAGAATCCTGTGATACACTATATGAGAATATCTAACAGGAATAAATCTCACCCTGTGTGGACCAGACATCTTTCTGTACTGCAGAACTACTCTCTTACATCCCCAGTTCTCTGCAGAGATCCACAATGGCTTCAGGGCACAACCGTGAGGGACTTGTGACCCCCCTGGCTCCTTCTAAACTGCCCGTCATTAACAAGAGAATGCATCTGTTCAAATCCCACTGGGCTCAGTCTGCACTGATGCAGCAGAGCTATTTTGCAGCAAAGCCGTTTGATGCAAAAGCAAAGCTGCTTTTGTCAAGCACTCACAACATGTATCTTAGAAATGGTGCAGATGGGATCTGTGCAGATTTCTCTCACCTGGAATTGCTGAAATACTTAAATCTCGATCCTCTGTAAATGATGGGACAATCCAGAGACCTCCCTGCTTGCTGTCTTGATCTTCCAATCCTGACCTGTAGCAGTCCATCTGATCCTGTGTCTACGACTTTCCTGACACGGTCATCAGGGCTTCATGCATAGTTTAACCAAGATCCAAGCATCCACCTGCCCATTTTTCCTTTCTGAGGAACCCCACAGTGAAACATGCTTTCTCATAATCTGCTAATCCCATGAAGTAGTCACAGATGCCTGCTGTGACCATACTCAGCCGACTCAAATCAGTGCCTCCGAGTAAATGCTTTTGCTTCAGCAATAACAGCAGTATACGATGAGGACTGGATGCACAGACAGAGATAAAGACGGAGAATGGGAAAATAGAGAAAATAACCCTGCCTGGCAGAAAATACCCCTGTCTCAGTGGCAATGCCCTTTCCAGAACAAGGAAGAGAAACAAGGAGGTGGGAATCTGCAGAAACTCCCTTGCTGGCGCTGCATAAGCCAAGCGGGTCTGGGGCCAGGTTTCAGCCCAGAGATATTCAAGTCAAGCTCCCCAGTTTCCTTCTTTTTGGCAATGGGCGTTGTTATCACTTGGGATTTTGAGCCTCTCCGGGAACAGGCATGGTACCTCTGCCCCACCAAAGGCAATAGGTTTGTCCTTGTTTCAGCTGGCCAGTATTTCCCAAGGGTATAAGTCTCCTTTACCCTGACCCCATAGGTTATTTGCACAGGCAGACCTGTTCTGAAACTTAGAGCAACTGGAGGGAGGCTCTAGAGGGGAATCTTCTATCCAAGCTTTTCTCTTTCGGGTCAGCTGGAACTTGCCTACAATTTGTGCTTATGCATATTCTAGTTCTGATAGGGAAGAGGTTACGTGAAATATCCATATAACACGATCAAACCAGTGGATCAAAAGCTGAGGCTGTTTCATCTCAGATTAAAAAAAAACAACAACAGAAAAACAACCAAACAAAGCCAACCCAAAATAAGAATATGCAGCATAACTTGAGAGGAATCACAGAAACCTCTTTAAAGAAGATCAAATTAAAATTGAGCTCCAGGGTCATAGGACCCTCTCTAGTTGAAGATAATGTTGCTATGCATCAGAGATAGAGGCTATGGAAAATGTCTCCGGGGCCTCCAGCCTTCCTATACTATGTTTAAAGAGATAATCCGCTTATTGCTTTGCTCTTTTTATTAGAAGAGATTTCAAACATGCAATTTGGACTTTTTTTAACCACAGGAAAACACTTTTTCTCTTCCCAGTGTTGAGGAATTCATTTCAGAAAGAGCAATGAACAGACAGTGTGGCTTATTAGACCCATTTTCCATTTGTTAAGTGATCATGACAATTACAAATAAATATTTTTGAAGTAAGGAATTTTAGTGTTTCCTAATACGACCAGAAAACATCCATATTCACAGAAGAACTTCAAGAGGATTGTACAGGTACTACAATTCCTTTCCTTAACAAATTTGAAGAAATGATGAGATGAATTATAAATATGTTGCAGCATGGCAATAAAATATTCAGCAGAAGCTGGTGGAAAATAGATAAAAAGTGAAAACTTTCAAAACAATCCTGCTTGGTTTTTGTGTTTTGCTTTTTCAGTTTTACAAATGCTAAAAATACTGGGTGGTACTGGAAATTTCCTGGCAAGGATCTCACTTTGCAATGAATTGATTTGTCTTGTCTTTCTGTTTTTAAATAGCGTGTTTCTTACACTTATGCCTGAAAAATTCTATATATTAAGTAGCTGAAGCTGTTTAAAATGAAACATGAGAGGAAGAATGGTATTTGGAACAGAAAAGACTATTCTGGAAGAGTCAGAGCTAAAGTACTGGAAGAATCACACCAGGTTCTGATCAATTAAGTGGAAAAGTAAAAATCTCCAAGAGACACTGAGGATTTGGGCTGTGCTCCAAAGCTTGCCAAGGTCGGTGGGAGTCGGTGTGTTGATTTCAAATGGGCTCTGGATTGGCCCTGTGAGGTTAAAAGGCTGTTGCACAAGAAAAAGGAAGTTCTGAAGCTATGCAGCCACAAGCTAATACCATTTCTTTAGCACTGTGTGCACTGGCAGCCACAGTTGCATTGGAATGTGTGACAGAGAAAGGTATAAAGAGGGATGCGTTTAAGTATGCAGTTTTCCAAGGAGGTATGAGGAAATGCCTTCAGGCACAGGCAGGAGAGATTAGGAAATATAATTCATATAATATTGGTATAGCTACTTTGTAGCAGAGATTTGTTCAGGAAAAAGGCAGCCATTTGGTCTCTTTGTCTTACCTGGCTCTATGGTCCATGAGAACAGACACAGAAAATGAGTATTACTAACAGGAGGAAAGGAGTTAATTTTTAAGTGTTGAGCAATTGAACAAGAAAAAAAAAGGATGGGCTCCCCCAGCTCCCCAAAGGTGAGAGGTGATGACTAGCTTGTTGTGTTCGCTCTGCATGTTTTGCTTTAAAGTAAATATTGAGTTTCCTCTTAAAAACTGTGCCCCTAATGTGCTCAGCTTCACTTGCTTCCCCCAGCATAGTGCTGTTGTGCACAGAGCATGCTTGCAGGTTACAGTGGTATAAACCTTGATTTCCAAGTGTTGAATTATCCTTTTGTATTGACAGGATTTCATGGAAGTGGAGACCCGCTAGTGAAGTAAGCAGTGGTGCAAGGTGGAAATGAGCTGCCCTGACACCTTCTAAAGGAGGTGCCATGCTAGCACCAAGGTCCTTTGCCACCTCCACCAGGTCTTGAGAAATGCAGTATCTCACCGTGATCATCCTCAGTTGTTGTCTTAGCTGGTATTGCTGCAAAGGGCCTTGGTAATACTGAGGTCACCTAGTCCCTTTAAAACAACTCCCTCACAATGCTTTACCACAAATCCTAATTTGAGAAGGCAAAACCTGGGGTGCACATGAGTGGTTCTTTGGTTTGTTGGTTTCATCCTTTTCTGCAGAGGACAAAGGAATTGCATGGGTACTGTCCTGATGCATGCAACATGCCAACTGTATTTTGCCTTTATCTGTAAATAAGAAAGACCTTGCTGTGGTGGATAATGACAATGAAATGTATGTTCAAGGTGCAGCCAAAGGTGTTCTTCACCGATTCCAACTTCTACTCCTTTTTCCTTCTCAGAGGTGTCACTGGTGGAAATCACCTCTAAATTCCTGGCTAGGGCTGGCTCTTAATCAAGGGCTTGACTGAACAGCATCCAAGTGAAATGGTTACCACGGCTCTGGTTTGCACCACTGTCTCATCCAGCAGTGCCATAAAGGTGCATAAGTCTGCATAAGGGTAGGGATGTCCTCCCGCAGAGCTGCCTCTTGGAAAGACCTGGTGCTCCTTCAGCCCTTGACTAATGCAATACTGTGACCCTGTGAGACAGGGATTTGGGGTAGGCAGTGAGTGAAGCCACCAGATGGTGCCCTAGGTCCTCTCTGCTCCTTTTACTGTCCCCTGCCTGCCCACATCCCCCTGCCAGCTCCCCCAGTAGTCCCCAGACCAGAGAGTCTCAGGGGTGGGCACCTTCAGCCATGCAGAACATCCCCAGCCATGACTGTCTTCTACCCCTGGGGTTGGTGCCTCTGGCACCCCTCAAAGCTCTGCATCATGGCCCAGATGCCACCAGCACCTCTGAAGAGATGGGAACAGGACAGGTTCCCCTCTGCATCCATGAAGTCTGGAGAATTAGCTTCATCAGATACCAGTGTCTTGGCACAGGGCTGCCCATGTGAGGGCCAGGAGAGTGGCTGCTGACACCATCAATGAGTCAGACTGGCATCTAAAATGCAAAATAGGCCAGATGTTCAGGGCTGCTTGGAGCTGCCTTCACTTTTCTTTCCATCTGGAAATGGCATCTTATCTTGGGTTTGGGAAAATTTTCTGTGTCCACGATGAAAAAATCATTTGCAGCATATGCTTCTCCTCTTCTTTGCTGTGTCAGGAAGCTGATGAAGTCTCAGATACCGCTCTTTCTGTGGTTTGGGATTCTGTGGTCACCAAGATTTGCTATGCACAGTGAAGTATCATTGAGTTTACAAATGAAAAAAGGAGATGGTCAGAGAGCACCGGTGATCTCCAAGGGAAAAGTGGAGAATGTGAGCTTCAGCATCTTCTCTTGCTTGATTCTAGGGCAAGCCCAGTCTCCACATACTGTCAGGGGTATAATGGTTTTCTTTGTTAATGATAAAATAGAAATGCAGGTTACTATTAGTAACTAGTATGTTACTAGGTACTTCACTATTTATAACCAGGCCTTTAAACTGCCAAACTGTGTTATGAGCTGTGGATCTGCTCTCATTCAGGGGAGGGAGTCTTTCAATGAACTCTCCTGGAGATCCTCTTTTCTTTTAGCCCTTTGAATTATGTGGGTTGTGTCATATTGCTCTGGGCCACATGAAGATTTGGATATACAGCTGGTAGGGCCAGGCAGGTCAGCCACCCTGCTTTAAGGAGTCAGAATGTAATTATCCAAATTGGAACAGGTTGAACATGGAAAAGCTAACATATGGATTTCTTCAAAATGTTATGTCTTTTAATAACTAGTCAGGGCCTCTGGTTTCTATCCCATCTGAAAGATCTGTCTGCTTACAATTTTATGCAATGATATCTGAGTACTTCCAGGGGCAATAATTGTACCCAAAATACTTGTACCACAGTGAGTTTCCCTCCCTTGTGAAGAAATTAGCCCTGTAATACCGCTAACACTGCTTTTGGCACTGACACACGCTGTTAAAACCAAAGATTCCAGTAGTCCTTGCAAGGCTCAGTGTGACGTTTCAGCTTCATGAATAGGAAAAAAAAAAAAGAGACTCAGGAGGTTAATGCAGTCTCAGGAGGTTTAACTACTTTTCCAAAATTGTAGGGTGTCAGAGGTGAAGTTGGGAACAGAATTCAGGTTCCTATGTTCTCATTTGTACCAGGTTGTCCAGGTGAGAGCCAGTAGGTGGGTAAGTAGGGAGCTGCTGAACTCCATACAGTTTAGGAAAACCAAAAAAGTTTCTGCCTGAGTCACCAGCCCCAGTTTCTGCAGGGCTTTGTTTTTCATTTTTGATTTCCCATGCAAGTATCAGTCAGGCTTATGTCTGCCTGGCTGAGGTAGCAGAGCTGCAGGAGAAGTTACTGCTCTCTTTTACAGAGGTATCCACCATTTTGGCAATAAAATACCATGGAAAGCCCAAATATGTATGCTGTAATTCTCCAAATAAATGTTTATGGAGTGAATGTGCTGAGTTGCTCCTCATCCACCCCATAAAGTCTTCCTGATTGCTGAAGAAGTTCCTGAGCTTGTCAAGAGGCTTCAGACACAGAAGAGCAAATGGCTGCAGCTGAATCTCAAAGGCATTCTCTGCTCATGAGAAGAAGCAGAGAACTCCCTACCATCCCAACAGTTAGATGCTAAAGAAGGAGGTGTGAAGAGAGGTGATAATGCTGATAATTACGTGAATGGAAATACTTGCCATTCTTTTTAATGTTTAAAGGAAACTACGGTTTTGAGGTGATGTAATTCCCAGTTCGGTTGTTTATTTAAGCTGTGCAGTGCAGTGCTATGCTGGCACATGGGGAAGAGAAAGTAAAACTTCAGCTCCGCTTTTGCCCTCTCAGGATTTCTGTATACTTTCAGTCTCATTCAGGTCAACCTGAAGCACAGCAGTTCTTCTAGCATGGCCCTCTCTACAGATTGGCCCTTTGCTAAAGAATATGCAACATGCAATTGGAGATTTGAAGAAATCAGTTTAATAGGAGTTGTAACTCTTCCTTTTCTCCTCTCCAAAAGGTTTAAAATAATCTTGCTGTCCATAAAAATCAGGTTAGCTATTTTTGGTTCTTGCAGAGCTAAAATGAATGCAGCATCTCTCATTTCCAGTCATGGCAAGTCACTTGACATCAATTGTTAATTGTTTGATTAATCTTGAATTTTCAGAGCTGACAGTGCCTGTCCTAGCACTTAGACAAGAGCTACATTTAAAAGAAAGGAGAAAACACTTCCTTTTTTTTTTTTTTTTCTTTGAGCATAGCCTGGAAGATAAAAACATGGAATTACAGGGAGGTTTTTAATGTATGTTGTCCTGAGAAAGATGGGCCATTAGGCAGAGTGCAAATAAAACAGTCAGAGGTTCATCATAAACTAGGGGGGTGTGATGAATTAATTTTAGCATATGCTTCAGCAATTCATTACAAGACTATCTTAAGCCCAACCGTTAGTACACTTTGCTGTATGCTCATCTGTGTTAGGCTGTGTTTTTCATTTAAACAAGTAAGCAGAAAGATTTCCTTCATGAAGATGGGTGACATTTCTATGCACAGAAAGGCCATTTAAGGTCAACAGTTACAGGGGGCTATACCTTTGTGTGCTTGGACAGGTAATTATCACTGCATATGACTCCCTAAGGGGTGGTGTTAAAAAAATATAGACCAAATAAGAAAAGACATTCAAACCCCTTCTAGAATGTTTATAAAATAGCATGGCCTTTCCCTGCCCTCCTTATCTCCTCCTTCTGCCGCCTCCCCCGCCCCCCCCCCCCCCCCTCCCCCCCCCCCCAGTGTGTGTGTAGCACATCCAGGATAAGCAGCAACATGCTGTACCAGCCCTTGCTTGGGAGGAACATATTATACTGTCAGGTCCTGCTTTCCTGTGTAACAGGCAGGCCAGAACATATGATGGTACAGAGTGATATAAAGGTGTTACGGGTATAAGTTTAAGTCAGCTTTCCTATGTTAGAAAAAGGACTTATCTTGATATCACTCCTCTAACTAAGGAATAATAAGGGCTCTGATTTTTTTCTTTCCAATTAGCTGTATGCCACAGACTTCTCGGGAGAGGTAAGCGCCATTCTGGACATCTACCCAAAGGTCTGTGTAATCCAAGGAACATTATGATGCCAATATTAAAACACAGGGGTGCCACCACAACTGTTCTTACCAGATGATAAGCCAGTGATCTCACAAGAAAATCCCAGTGGTAAAAGGGAAAAATTCTGACAATACACCCCTCCAGCCACTCTGAATACAGCACTCATTCCATGGACACCTGCTGGAACTAAGCATGGGTATTTCAGTTTACAAGTGTCTCCAGCAATGGTGTAGAGAAAGGAAAGTTTCCACTGTGTACTGGGCTGAGACCTATTGCTCTGCAGATACTCCAGTCAGCAGGCAGTTAAACAGTTCCAAGGCATATTGTCCTCATCTAATCCCTTCCTGCAGTCAGGTTTCTTATGTGCCTTGCTCCAAACAGTCTTGTATGAACCAGGTGATAGGAAGCTCCTCTGGGGTGCCATCTTCCAGGCTTGTATATTAATGTTTCCTTTGCTTAATTTAATTTACATGTAAACCATTTATACTCCCTCAGACAACCCTAAACAGTCTTTCTCATTCCCTGGTGCTTCTGCACCCCTGAAGTTCTTGTACGCAATTCCCATGATGCTCTTCACAGTCGTTATTTGGGCAAACTACACACACTGCAATCCCTTCCAGCTTTTTTATCATTTTATGTTGCTTTTCTTTTTATTTACCTCCAAGTTGTTGACATCTAGCTAGCACTGAGTTGTCCAGAACTAAACATGTCTTCAAACTGCGGTCTCACCGCTATATTAAAAAATGGGACTATTGCCTATATCTCTGAGAAGAGGTCTCTGCCTTTACAACCCCAAATTAAATTAACTGCATGATTTTTGCTGCCATATCACATTGCAAAAACATATTAAATCTGCTGTCTACTGTCTCCCTGAGGTCTTCTGGTATTTCTGCTTGCAGTGCTTGAGCACAGATGATTCCTCTCTTCACCTCAGTTTCTATCTTTCAGTAGCTCATATGTTGTACCTACTGCCTTTTTAGACACGTAGGATCATTCAGGGTTCCTCTTTGAGGAACAGCAGTGTGATTCCTTACACATAAGTAAATTATCTCTATTTTTTTTAGCGTGAAATAGTCTGTCTCCACCATTTTCCCTCCAAGCTGTCCTATGATAATCTGCCTCAGTGCAATTAAAAGGCATGCTACTCTTTTTGGTTTCCAGATTTTTCCTATTTATAACTAACTGTATAGAGCACTGGCCTGTATGTTAATAATCTGCAACAATCTGTTTGAATGTTACATACTGAGGATCACGGGTTGAAACTCTTTTTCTGGAGAAAAGGAAACGCTGTTCTTTCCTTAAGAAGTTTCTGTCCCAAATGTCGAGAATATGGATTAGCTTTTCTTTGGTGAGGAATGACATACAAAAATGCTGCTTTGTACATGAGACTTCTTTCTATGGGTGGCTCAACACTCTGCAATTAACTTTTCTGGGAAATAAGAGCTACCACGGAAACTGCCACCATCCTCATTATCACTGGTATAAACACAAAGCAACATGAACAGTGGAGAGGGAAAAAAAAAACAACCCACTCATCAAACCAAACCATTTTGCTCCGTGCGTCTTCTTCCTAAGAAGAGAACAAGAAAAAGAAAAGCCCTCCATGTGACAGATGTTAGTCAGATGAGCTAATGCAGTCCTACAAGGTACTTGGATATTACGTTCATGAAAACAGTGTAAGAATTGATACAGAAGGGAATCCATTTTATCATACTCTATTTCATAGATAAGAGAATCTGGAAGAATTGGTTAAAGCAGGTGAGATGCTGAAAGTGGTGGTGTAGCTGCGGATGGTCTAAAGATCCTAGGGAAGCAAGATTTGTGGCAAAAGGTAATATCCTTTATTAGATCAACTGATAGAGCTGGAAAAAGCAAACAAGCTTTTGGGCTCAGGGTCTCTTTATCAGATCTGACAGAAGGCAGCAATATTCCAGCTAACTACAGGTTAGATGCAATTGCTCGTAGTTTAATCTAATTATATTAATCAATGCAACCACTTGAGGAAAAAAAGGAGCACCTATGAAGTGGAAAAGGGTGTGAGCAGAAGTGACTGACAGGCTGCTGGTGCTCTGCTGAACCACTGGCAGAAAAGGGTTGTTTGTGCTGGTGACAAAGGGAGAGGTCAGCAGGCAGACTGTAACAGGCTAGGAAGGCAACATCTCCCTTAGACCCACGAGCTTTAGTGTCTAGGGGTTATAAGTTTTAATGCCAAGCTTTATCTTTTGGGAACATTTTGTAGGTCTCCTTTGGGATAAGGATGGAGGGGCTCAACTTGCTGCTTTCTCACAAAAGGCACTCTAATGATGAGTACGGTTTTCTGTCCTTTACTGGCTGGCAGTAGGCACTTTCTAAGACAGCAATTATTTTAGGCTCATTTACACTGTTTCTGTGGGGCTATTTCACGTGCAGGATGAAGCGATGAACTGTAGAGATGTGGGACAAGTACATGCAGGAACAAAGAATTTTGGTGCTTTTGCTGTGGGAGGAAGGGCATTGATTATGCTGTCTGTGCAGCGGTCCTGGCGTATTTCATGTTTGATGCTCTGGCAGTATCTGGTTCTATTTCATGTGTTTTCATCTGCGGATTTACTTCCTGTAATGAGCTGGGAAAGGGAGAGCCTGAAGGTTAGGAGAAAAGACACAGGAAAAAAATATCTTTCAGAGACACTAATTTAAAAGATTATTTTATGTGTGGTTTTTAACATGGAATATTATCACTACTGGGCTCATGTTTGTGGGAGGAATGCTACAGCAGAGACTAAACTAAAAAGCAGAAAAATTTGCAGCAAGCTAATGTGGTCAGAGTCTTTGCAAGTCCTTGTTAATTTTGGTTGCACTAGACAAATACCAAATAAACCTTGATCCTTTGAAAAGTGTCTTTCTAAAATCATTGCTGTTGCTGTTTTATCTTTATCATAGTAAATTCAAATCTATTTTGCTGGAAGAGTGACCTTGCTGGATAAAGCAGCTCACCAGTGTTCCCCTCAGAGCAGGTGCAACAGTATCTGCAGGGCTGGCTGAATCTCACAGCTTCTTGGTGCGTTTTGGATGTCTGCTGGTCTTATTGCATCCGCTTTATAGAAGGAGTTTTATGGTCTGTATGTTCTTGTGTATGTGCTTTCTTGCAGGGTGCCATTTTTTAATGTCAATTGTGGTGTCTAGAAAGCCGATGCCAGTGTAGGAGCAATCCTGGGACCGACTAGAGCAGCAGGGAAGCTGCTCATTCAATTTGCGGTTACATTTGATGAAGGACTCCAAGGTTTCCTGAGCTGCCCGCATTCTTGATAGAAATGTCATCTCTGTTTCCTATATACAGCATGGCTTGGTGGTGTAATGTTTTTCAGACTTGGCTTGTGAAGAAAAATGGCATATTGAGGCATTAAAGAGCTGCAGAAAGGTGATCTCCCTCTGCCCCCCACTTTGTGCTTGGCAAACACGAAGAGGTTGACTAAATGCTGTCTGAAGAAGAGAGCTGGGTGCTTGCTGCATGATGTAGCAGACACAAAAATTCCACATGGATCAAGAAAAAAAAAAGCTGAGTGCATTCGTTAATAAAAATGCCTTGGAAGCTGTTGAATGCGAAGACCCCAGCTGTGGGTGAGGAAGTGCCTGATCACAGATCACCAGGTCATAGGGGAGGTCTTCTAAGGCAGTGTCACAGCTGCTTGTTGGAGCTGACAGCCTATGTTAGGGTTTGTCTGTTCAGCGCTCTGGGAGGCAGGATACTGATCTGACTCAGTACTGCTGTTTCTCTTCTACAGAAAACGAGGGGCTTTCCTCGCTTTTACTGGAACGCACGTAATTACGTTTTCATTTACTTTCCCGACTGCAGCGGCAGGCCCCAGGCATATGCATCAGGGCCTCGAGTGCTGTAACAGTAGCCTTAAGAGGGGAACAAAACCACTGTTCAGGGGTCCGTTTTACCCACTCCTACTCCACGATAAAGCAGACCGCGGAAGCCCCTGCCCGACTCCCCTGTGGTCCCAGCAACACCCCACTACCAGTGAGGCGGCCCTTCCTCTACGAAAGCCGGCGCCTGCAGCAGGAGGGCTGGTGGTGAGGCCTTCCCGCCCCAGAGCGGAGCTCGCCGGGACGGAACAGAGGCCGATCCCACCGAGGCCTCGGGCGAGGACGGGCCAGCAGGACCTCGTCCTCTCAGGAAACAGGGGCGAGAGCGGGACCCTGAGTGGGGGGGAGCGGACACACGATGGGCCCTGGGGCAGCGCCCTGCCCCGCCGCCTCCCCCTCCAGGCAGCGCTGCGAGATGCCAGAGCCCTCCTCCGCGCCCGGCCCTGCCGAGGGAGCCCGCCCCGCCAGCGGCTCCTCCTCCTCCCCGGCCGCCGCCGCTCTGCCAGCAGCCGGTCGGGCCTGAGACCCGCGCCCGGCGGCGGGGCCTGCTCTGAGCGCTGGCGGAGGGCGGGCGGGGGAGAGGTGAGGAAAATCCAGCAAGGAAAAGCCCCGGAGACCGAGTCCGTCGCGTCACATGAGCTGACAGGATCCGTACCCGCTTCCCTCGGCGCAACAAAGAGCCGGGAGCCCTTCTGCCCGCCGCGGGACGGGGCTGCCATGGGACCCTGAGGGCCGGCCCTCACAGGTAAGCGGCGGCCGTTACGGCGTTTGCCGGCCCGCCTTACCTGGCGGGCGAGAGCGCCCCCCCCACCTGGCGCGAAGGGCGGGGCGGCGGGGTGGAACCGGCACCCCTCGGCTCCTCTGCACCCTCTGGGTCTGAGGTGACTTCCCAAAACCTTTGGAGTTTTGTGTTCCTCCCCCGGCGTGTGCGGCGTTTATGGCGGGGTTTATTTGCTTTTAAGCGGGCCGTAACCCCAGCTCCCCCCGGGGACGGGGAGCGAGACCCGCCGCCCTCGCGTCCCTCCCTCAGCCGCCTTCCCCGCGTGTGAAGGGCGGGCGCTTCCTCAGCCGGGGGCAGGCAGTCTCTGCTGGGGGCACTGGTGCTTCCCGCGACCCTCGCATGGGTTCTGTCCAGCTTCCTATGTGCAGCCGTGGTTAACCTCCGATTCCTTAGTGTTATTCGCTTTTTACGGTGAGCAAACGGTTAACCCCGTGCGGTTTTATGCATTGCCTCCCCCAATCTCCCACCCTTCTCCCCAGCCCTGTATGGACCAGCACATCGTAACCTTTCTGGCTGTTAAAAAGAACATTAAGGTGATCTTTATTTTTGTCAAGGCGCCATCCCGCTTACGAGGTGCTTATCCCAAGCTAAATTCCTGCTGGTAGGCAGCCCCTCGCCCACCCGGGACTTGCCCACCGGGTCTGTGACTGGAAGTTGTTGACAGTTGCGTGCACATGTGCCACACGTTCCTCGGGTGAGCGACCTCGCACCGAGGTTTATGGCTGGAAACTCTCGGTGAGAGCACCGGGTGGGTGAAAAACACCCCAGCAAGGCTGGCGTCTGAAGCCTCTTTTTTGGGAAATGCTCTGCCCCGTTTTTGCTACGTGTGGGTGCTGAGAGTGTCGTGCTGGGATGGCTGTTGGGGGTGTAGAGGTCAGGAGCAGTTTGTGGGGGTCCTGAGGAGGTGGGCTGGGGGCGCAGGGAGCTGGGGTGGCATGGGAGCAGGCAGGTGGTCGGGGAAGACCTGGCAAGGGGAAGGTACAAGTGATGGGAATGGAGGACTGTGGGCAGCCTGGGCAGGGGACTCAGTCTCATGAGTGCTCTCCCCTCTTTGTGTGTGTGGCATGGTGTCATGCTGGTGAAGGGAACGGTTTATGTGTGAGGGTTATTTGGTTTGGGTTTTGTTTTGTTTTTTTTTTTTTTAATTTCATGATTTTATTCTTGGCTTGCTGCCCTCTCTGCAATGATATGGAAATAATCTGCTCCTGGGCACGACTGGCATCTTCCCTCTTATGCCAAGCGGCCACCTGGCTTGAGTCTTAACACTGGCGCACATTAACCCTGGCTCTGTCCAACAGGGAGTCCCTGGGAAGGAGTCTTCCCTTGTGTGTTATCTTGGCTGGTGGGTATGGAGAAGAAACCACAGTTCCCTTTCAGAGGGAGGTGCTAGGCTGGCCTTGATAATTGTGTTAAATCTCTTTAAATCAAAACTAAACTTAAGTAAAGCTACGAGGTGAGGAAGAACAAGCCACCCGCTGCCCTCTGGGTGTCTGGTGCCTACCGTGGCAGAAACAGCTCCAGCAAAGCCATTTGCTTTCAGGTGATAGGGTAGGACTGTGGTTCAAGCAGCAAGAGAACAATTGCACACCAGGGAAGGTGTGCAGGGAGAGGGAAACACAAGAGCGTGCAGCACCTTCTCATGTCCCGAAATGTTTCACAGTCCCTCTCACTGCAGGCTTTGGAAAGAAAGGGGTTGCATGAGTGAGGAGGTTGGGCAGATGCTGCTGTCAGTGTCAGCTGCTCAAAGGCTATGAGTTAGCCTGCTTGTACCATCCCCACCCCAGCGTTTTTAAGGAGTGGAATTGGGGTCCTTGGTGGTGTCCTTCAGGGTAAACCCAGTTTGAAAGTTTAAGCATGTCTTCGTGCAGACTTGGACCTGGAGTTTATTTTTAATGAAAGGCATGAATCTTATGGAGTGTGACTTCAGTTGAAGTAGTAATTGCTCCAAAACAGGGCAAAACTGTGAAAGCAGACAATGCTGATTTTAATTGCTCATTTTTCCCCAACACCTTCTTTCCCCAAGATTCCTGTTATGATTCCCCTCCCTTCGTGGGTGTTTCTTGGTCATGGTGGGGAACAGACTGGAAATTGTCAATAGCCAGATCAACTTCTGCTGATTAGGACTTAGAATGTGACTGGTTTTTAATGCAACCAGCTAAGTCGCAAGGGCCTGGACTGGGACACTGACAGTTTGTTTCATGTGTGTCATTAGCTGCCATGGAAGACTGTGGCTGATAATCTGTCTTCACAAAATAGGAGAAAAAGTTGGCTTTTCCCCTAGAGTGGGTGGGAGGTTTGAAGTGAAAGTTTGTTCATCTGTCCCTTCCCTTCAGAAAAATGTACAGCACGTTTTTGAAACTGAGTCATCAGGTACAATTTCTTTTAAGTATTTTTAAGCTGTCATGAATTTGATGCACTTTGGCCGCATGCTTGCTGGAAATTGTAAGACAGTTGTTCAGATTTGCCCTGGCTGGGTTTGAAAAGGTGATGAAGAACTTCCCATGCCGCAACCCTTTTATATCTGAGCACAGCAGAACTGTCATAAAAGGGGTGGAACATTTTGATGCTCTGTGCTCTGGGCATACTCGGAAGGGGACGTGCAAGGCTTGTCCATCAGCCAGGCTTTTGCTGAAGGGTGTGCTGGCTCCCACTGATGGATTCTCTCTGAGCTGTGCTGCTTCTTGAGAGATGTGGCACAGGGCTGGATATGTGGTGTGTGGAGGGCAGGGCAAATTCCCTCCAAAGTCACTTTGTCATGGAAGACGTAACAGGGATGCACAGATTCAGGAATGATTATTAGCGTCTGATGACCTGGCCAAGATTGTGTAATGACACTGAGTAACAGATAAAAGGTTTTATATCCCATAAACTTGGTTTTCCCTTTAGGGTGAACCACAAGGCTTTGAGTTGGACAGCCCTCTGGTAACTGCAGATAGGTGCCAGCGTTAATCACTCAAAACAAGTCCTTAAAAATAAGGACACAGGCTACAGGCAGGAGAGGGAAAGAAGAGCTAATTGCTATTTTCTCAGTGTATTTTTTTTAATCACATTTAATCCTGCATATATGATTGTGTGAGTGACCCAGCAACTCCAGCAGTTTATTCATTTATTTAAAACAGCTTCATAGTTCACCTTGAAAACCACTTCCTGCCATATGGTTATATTATTTCCTTGTGCCACATTTTTTGCTAATTATCAAGACCATTTGCTTTAAAATAGGTGTTTTTAATTTCACAGCCTTGTCTGCCTCTCCTGCTTGATCCTGCCCTGGAGTCAAGAGGCTGTGTCTGTTCATTCTCCATGGCAACAGGCTGTGATTTACTTATTTCAATTTAATTAAAAAGCAGCTATCAAATTCCAGGCATCTTATATGTTCCTTATATTAGGAAAATATCAGTGGATCAGTCTCCACAACAGAACTACCAACCTCAAAAATAAAATTCTAAGCCTGAGCCGCTGGTATCTTTCCCAGCCCATCCCCTTTGGAAGAGGTGAGGTGGGGAGGCATGTGCTGTGGCCTGTCCTCAGGTGGAGCAGATGGGGCCACTGCACTGGGGTCATGGTAGGAGTCAAATTCTGGACTCCTGTAGGGTGGGGGTGCCAGTTTAAACCACAGGACTACCCAGGTTGTGTTTCTCCTCTAGCTGTTGTATAGCTTTTGGGAGGTTTCAGGGCTTGATGGGTTGGCATGAACACCCCAGACCTTGCCTGGAAAGAGGAGCATGGGTTGCGTGCTCTGTGCATGGATTCTCACCTGCTAGGGAGGGCGCTCTCTGAGGCACCTACGTCTGCTGAGCCATTTTCAAGGCTAGTGTGAGGTTGTGATGCTGTTGCTGGCTTGGGTGAAAAGGGCACAAAGTATCAGTGGGCACAAACATCTGTACTTGCTGCAGTGAAAATGCAGAAAATGGCAGTTCTGCTAGAAATGTGATGGTGTTTATCAGCTCTCGCCTTGTGAGAGATTTTACAAGTCAAAATCCTTTGTGTTATGCTTGATTTTTTTGGTCTGTCTTGAAGCCTATCTGTTTTTTGATGCGTGCGTGATATGGCTGTTGGTTTTAAGCTGGTCACAGCACAGAAGTTCACAACGTTCTGTTGGTTTCCGCATGGCTGGTATTTGTATGCAGACTAGAAATGAAGGCCTTAATCCTAAATTAGTTTTCAAAGCGCTGTGGCTGTACAAATACTGGTTTGTGTTAGTCAGGGATAAGAAAACGTATAGGCAATGACCAGGCGGTTGTTGGCCAAAAGAGGGGCTGGTGTCTGGAAAGGACCTTGGGGGTGGATGGATGAGTGTGGTGATTTTACTAACCTTCAGGTGGTAGGTTTGGTAGTAAATGGACACAGTGGAACCAGTGTAATTAAGGAGTGCCAAAATTAACACTCCTTTTTGTCTTCAATACCAACACCCCAGTTCTTAATAGGATTATTTTCCCTTGAGGGGACTGTTGAGATGACCCAGCCTTTGGAGTACCTGCACGCCAGTGGTGTTTTCCTCCTAGGAGAAGCTGGGCCTGCCGAGTTGTATAACCAGACTTGGGTGCTATTTCTGAGCTCTGCTAATGTGTGGAAGAAGAAAAGTTGGCCATGCATTTTTATTAAGCCTTAAGGAGCAGTTATCAGAAGAGTGCCTGCAAAAAACTGCACCTTTCCCCCCCCCCCCCCCTTTAGTGTTGCTACTCCAGGTGCTTTTTCAAAGTCACCTGTGGTGATTTTAACAGCAGACATAGGTTCTTGCTCCTTCTTGCCCTGCCAGAGCCCTTGAGGTTGTGGCAGAGAATGTTGGAATCTCTCCTGGCTTGCTTATTTTCATGGATTAAAATGATGTACTGAGTTTCTAGCTGCAGATTCTTGGTGATCATGCGCCAGCTGGTAAGACCCTCTTTGAGCCCATGAGGGTAGCAGTTAAGTATGTGTTTACTAGGAAAGCGAGCATGTTTGGTCTATGGGATGCTGTTCGGCAA